GGCCATGGCTTAGGATCCTTCAGTGGATAAGTTTGGGCCAGGTTTGTGAGTCCAGTCTTTGGCCTACCCTCAAGATCATGTTTTGACCAGTTGGTGTTGGATCAAGATTTTAAAACTTTAAACCTCAAATGTTAAGAATGAATTTCTGATCACTTTTATCCTCAATTTTTTTTTAAAATTATTCATCATATTACGGGGGTACAAATGTTTAGGTTAGGTATGTATATTCATATCCCAAATTTGGATGGAAACTTCCGACATTGTAATCAACATAAGGAAAAGCCTGTTCATCATTTGTTGATTCAGAAAACATTTAACAGACTTCTGCTGTGTGAAAAGCACCATGCTGAGCATTGTGGAGTCCTTGCTCTCAAATGCTAATAGTCTTGTCCTGTGCAGAAAAAACTCAAGTATGGCTACCTACGAGAGAAACTGGAATTTAGAGGAGCCACTGAGGGTGGTTGCCAGAGTGGCCTGGCTGTGATGTGACCATCCTACTGCTCCTGAGATTGGCTCTGGCTGATCTGGCCGGCTGGTGTCTCTTCCCTCCTTACACCTCAGTGCCTGTCCCTCCCACATCTGGGCTCAGGGAGTGAGGGTGAGCTCCTTGCCCGGAGGAGTGCTATCACTTGATCAGAGGTATGCAGGTGGCTGTGCTTCTCTGTTTAAGACTCAGCAAAAGACAAAGTAGAGAAATCGTGAAGTGAGGAGCCAATCTTGCTGCCTGTCGGTAGGTTTTGTGCAATCGTATAAATAATTCATGATTTATGCATCAGAACAGACCCAATTTCCTGGAAATTGTTTCAGAACGGTATTGGAATCTGAGTTAATACAACTTGGCTGGAGTGAAAGACATATCTGCTTGCCAGTTCTCTCAAAACTCATTGTTCTGCAATGCCTCCACACAAGAGAGGTTGGTGCATTTATTAATTAAGGCCACTGAGAGATCAGTTAAGCCTCAGCAAACAAATGCCTTATGCTCTTCAAGGGGAAAACAACTTAGAATCCGATTTGTTTCCTCATAGAGAATTTGAGGTATGCTGCCAAAGCTTTTCCAAGCTGCAACCCCTCTTTCTTGGCCAGCTGTAGGGCTGTCAGCTTCCAGCCCCCCAAACTTCCTTGGCTGTGAGGGTTCCTTCCCAGTTTGGTTTGGAGCACAGATTCCACCTGCTTTTATTTTGTTTTCTATTTGTTTGCTATTATCCTCCCAAGCACATGCTCTTTTCCCATGCACTACACCTCTGATTATATTGCTGCATATTTTGATCCCAAACAAAGGTGACTTTTGTCCTCAGCTTGTTATGAAAGATCAGTAACATGTGACATGTGATATGTTTTCCAACTTTTATATCTTTATATGCCTCTGGTGTTTGGCTCTGGGGGTCATGTTTTGCTGAGTGTAATACTCTTGTCATTAAACTTTTAATTGAAGTAAGTAGTAGAACAAAGTTGTAGTAGAATGGTCTCCTCCTCCTATTCCAGAGGGGGTGTCAGAAGGCCCTCCCTGGGTGTGCAGAGGATTAAAATCCTGACTCCTTAAACTTGGGGTAGATCCTATCCTGTTACTTGTTTTTGTACACGTGTGTATAGGAAAAGCGATACCATGTCGGAGAATGTCTAATACTGTATTAGAGGATATTTTGACCTTTTGCGATAGTAGAGAAGGAAGACAGTGCAAAGTGCTGGGTACAGCACCGAGGATTGGCTGATAGGATAAAAGGCACTGGTGCTCTTAGAGGGGAACTGGACAAAGTTGGGTTTCGGCTACTCTGTTAGTACCTTAGCACTCACCTGACAGCCAGATGCTCCTGGAGAGGCCCATGCTTAGACATTATCTTGGCCCATGGGAAGATTGGTGGCAGCTGTCTTGGGTGGCTAGTGTCCTATAATCCCAGAGTCATGGGATAGACCCTACTGGGAGTCATTTATTAAAACCATATGGGGCTCTGTGTGTTGCAGGTACTGTTCCAGACATTGGGCATACACCTACAGCAAGGACACACAGTACTGATTAAAGGAAGGACGTTTCAGGTCGTGAGGACAGCTTGTGCAAAGGTCCTGGGGATATGATCACCCCGCAGACCCAACATGACATCTATGTCTTGAAGCTACATTCAGTCTTTAAAGAGCAAATCTGGAAAATTTAATGATGCTTCCTGCTTCTGTTTTGCTGGCCTCTGGAGAACCCACAGAGCAACAACAGCTAACCAGGCAGGAATTGAAACCCCCGCTCAACAAAGAACCAGTTTCCTTTTCTAGGAAGGGCTCATTCCCACACTGTCTGACTCACAACACTTCACTGGTTTCCTCTGCTAACAGGGCGGCCTCTGTGCAGGATGTAGCCTTTTCAGAGGCTGAGGTGGTTCATTCTGGGAACGAATCCTGTCTTTGTTCCTGCGTCTCCTTGTAACAAGAGGCTGGAACCTCTACCATTGCCCTTTCAAGGGGGTCGCTTTGTATTCTGCTTACTGCCTTCCATCCATCCCAGGGGACCGAGACCTCATCTTGTCTGGCTTAGCTTTTCTTTGTCCCCCCCATTGCTACAGATGGCATTGTTGGCCCCGGTTTTAATGAGAAACTAGTGTTTAGAGAGAGTTTCACCTTAAACTGCCACTTTGTGTTGAAAGGGTTAAGAAAGAAAAAGAAGAGGAGAGAAAAGGAAAAGCCCCAGGAATGTCTCCAGTGGTTTCCTCACATGCTGTGTGTGCATTGGGATCTCTCAGGCCATGGAAGCTTCTGTCCCTCTTGGGCAAGAACTGGGCTATTTCAGGCATCCACTGTCTTATCCCAGTGGGGCAGGAGTTGAGGGCAGGGGTGATGGTAGGGACCGGCTCTGCCCATCCTGCATGGGTGGAGATTTGGCTCCAGCAAGATTTCCAGGCAAAAACAGAGACGAGGTAGCCAATCCTGGCCCAGTCTGCTGAGGGTCAGAGGAGGCCCAGCCACAGGGTCTCTGATCCTGGATTTACCTGGATTCCTCACTGGTTGCTACTGTCTTTGTACTTGCATACTCCAAAGAAAAAACAATTCCCTAGTACCACCCTGAAAGGTATACAAAACTGAGCAAAGGGAGTCCAAATGTTAAATTGGAGACCGCAGGGCAAGCTCCACCACCATGGGTTGAGCAGTTGCCCTGCCCTTTCCCTTGATCCTGCCTGTCTGCAGTTAACTCTGGCCAGTGGCAGCGGTGGTGGTGGTCACAATGGTGGTGGGTGACACAAGGAAAGGGGCAGAGAGGCGTGTACCGAGAAGCCATCTCAACATTGATGATGACCTTGATCTCGCTGGTGAAGTCTGAGATCACAAAATGAACCTCTGTGACCCTGAATGATGTGCTGGCATGTTCCACCTCCTTTTGCGAAGAGCTTTTTGTGAGGATCTCAAGAGATCCTCCCTCCTCGGCCTCCCAGAGTGCTAGGATTACCAGCGTGAGCCACCGTACGCAGCCTCAGACCTTTGCTCTTAACCACACAAATCACTGCTTCTCCCTCGGGGGTGAGTGGGAGCGGAGCCCTGAATGTGGGTCTGGGGGGATGTCTGCTGTGGAGTGCTTTTCAGTAAACTCTTATCCTAAGAAAGTCCTGAGCATAATGAAATAAGACAGAGAGAGGGGAGGCAAAATGTGCAATGACTGATTGGAGTCAAGCCTTACGCCTTGGGGAAACCTATTAGAGCGTGGAAGGGACCCAAGGCCAGAGCAGAAATGCAGCTGGGGCCAGGTTGGCTGGTTCCTGCAGGTCAGCATCTGGGACTGGCGCCTTTAGGTGTCTGTGACTTGAGTCAGCGGCCGAGAGCCAGCGGAGCCTGGGGCAGCCTGTGGGCTGTGACTAAATTAGGAAGAAAGAGCCCTTGGGCTCTCCTGGGAGCTCGTGGGGGCCGGTGGGCTGTGGAAGGGCCTCTGGTGGCAGCTGGAAGCAGGCTGTGCAGACACATCTGACTGGCTTTCACTGGGACTCTTCGAAATGTCACACACCGAGTCTGAGCTCAGTCCTAGCAGGAGGGGAGCCTCCCTTATACCCGTGTGACTGTGGGTGGCGCCAGGTGAGAGATGATCTGCTCCCCCAAACCTCTTCTTCTCCAAGAGTCTAGGTAAAATAGGAGAACCTAGTAACCTTCAATCACTACGTCATTTACAAGCACTTCAGAAGAGGTTTTATCTTTCAAAAAGCATGCTCTGTTGAATCATTTGGGGAGGGAGGGGGTGATAGCGGACACAGGCACCGCGGATTAACATCAGACTGTCCCAGACAGGACAAATTAGAATGACGGTTGCTCTATATGACCTGGCAACAAGGTACCTGTGACAGCAGATTTTGATTTAGAAAATCATGCAAAGGTTTAATTTGGTTTGATTGTGAAGTACCACAGAGTGAGATCTGAAAAGAGAAAAGTAAAAAACAAAACAAAACAAAAATCAAAAAAATTTGGCGGGAGAACAGTGGCTCCTGGGAAGAAAAATGAGCTCCATTTGTAAGTAATTAAACCATGAATGGGGCCAAACCTGTCATTCGACTCCAGGATTTTTAGTCCCTTCCTCACAGAGAGGGGCTTCTTGGCCTTTTTTTTTTTTTTTTTTTGGTATTATATTTTCTGTAAGACTGGTTGGAGGTCTTAGCCTTAGAGCACAGTTTCTCAACCACAGCACTATGGATATCTTGGGCCAAATAACTCTCTTCTGTGGGGGGCTGTCCTGAATGCTGTAGGATTTTAGCAGCATCCCTGGTCTCTACCTAGCACCCCTTCAATCCTGACAACAAACTGTCTCCAGCATTCTCTAGGGGACAAAATTGTCCCCAGCCACTGCCTAGAGCAAAGCAGAATCCACTTTTCCTACTGGATTGCACTTAGAAGGTGAAATGATGGGCATCTCACTCCATGTCCTGGTCCATAGAAATATAAAAGGGGCAAGTGGAGCTTTGCTGGTCGCAAGTCACTTTGTCGGTGCTGTCTTATGTGGCTACATTGCTTAGGTCCTTTTGGGCACATGCAGGATCAAAGTGTTCCCCATGAAAACCCAGAGTGAAAAACAAGCAAGCAAACAGATCATCACCACCACCACCACCACCACCACCAATAGCAGCAACCAAAAATAGTGAAAAACCAGGCCAGGGGGCTTAGGAATTTTTACAAAATGGCCAGCGTGATTAGCCAGGACCCCTCCTTCCGAAGCTTCTCGGGAGGCCCGTCTGCTTAGAGCTGGCTTGGGTGTTGATATGTGAAGAGGCTGAGAACATGTGGTGTAAACATCGACTGATATTGTTTGCCATTTCCACTCAGCATGTGTAATGCAGCAGGAATGGCTCCTGGTGGCATGTGACTGCCCTTCCAGACGGGTGTGCAGTGCTCTGGGACAGCTCTTTCTCTTTGGCTCCCTCCCTCCCTCCCTCCCTCGCTTGCATCCCCCCTCCTCTGCCCCTTTCCAGACTGGGGAGAGCTTACGTGGAGGCTTGTCATGATTGGCATGCAGAAGGCTGGTAGAATGTCACTGGAATTTTCTAGGAAGGCACATGCGCGACACCCAAAATGACTCCCGGCGTCGGTGGCCGCAGGTCAGCGCTTCCTGCCAGGCGCCCTGGTCTGTTTCAGAAAGGTAAGGTTGCATGATGTCATCCTACCTTTCTTTCCCCAGCACAAGGGAAAAAAATAAATTTTTTTTTTTTTTTAATTCTCCGGTCCAGGCAGCACCTCTGACCATGTTGTCGGCACTCAGAATTTGTGCATGAGTATGCGATTTGTCTGTATCCCCACCCCCTCCTGTTTAAAAAAAAAAATTAATGATTCACAACGGACGTTTAACGCGACCTAAAACAGATCCTCAAGACCCCAGTGAAATCAGCGATCCCAACGTCGGGAAGTCTATATGCTCTTTTTACGCTGGTTACTAAACTCTTTTACAAAGGAAAGTCGTGTGGCTACTGGAAAACAGATTGCATTTATCACCAGACCTGGGAGGATGGAAGGGGACATGGTCAGAATCCCAAAACTTTATAAACGATGACGGTGTCATGAGGTTGAGGTGTTTTGTGTGTTCACTTTCCGTGATGGAAAATGAATGTAAAGGTGTTTGAAATGTCGCGTATGTGTTGAGCGCAGAATCAGACTCATTCTGAACCTGGAGGGGAGTGCCGTGCTAGAATTCACAAGACGGAGACTTTTCGCCAAGAAATAACGCTTGGGAATTGCCTTTAAGCACCTCTGAAGTGGCTGTAACATGAATGTCAGCAACTCTTAGGCATCTTTAAGTAAAGTTAAAATTTTAAATGAAACTATTTGAATCATCTCCGAGCAAGCAAGTAAGCGTATCAACTTCTGTAGTGAGGTTCAGGGGACATATTTGGATGTAGATGTGACGATCTGTTAGCAGGCACAAGCACAGCCGAACATGACTCACCTCGTTTCTTTATCTGATGCAATTGAAAGTAGCTTCAGTGCACCCTGTAGAGGGGTACTGGCTTTCTGCTTGCAAGTGTGTAAAAGCAAATCCGCACTCATAAAATGGCCTGTTTGATGTATCTTATATCACGGGAATTTTTTTTTTAACCTTAAAAAAATCCATTGCGTAGCTTTGTCATCGGTTTCTGCCTTATGTGCTTTGGAATCTTCTCTTTTCGTCGCTTTTCCTCTTTTCTTTTCTTTGCAAGTCTGCACAAGACGTCACAAGACTGAAGTGGAGCGGGTTAATATTTTCACATACTCGCCCCTCCCCCACATGCATACACTAACAGCTGCCACGTATGATTTTGTGGAATTTGATATTTCGAGTGAAATGACTTCCTTATTTTCCATAGTAATATAATAATCAATTTTACCATAGAGAACTGTGTACATGTCCAGGCTTGGCTGCCCCTAATTAGCAATGGATGGGGTAGCCGGGGAAAGTGTAAGAGAGCAGTTTTGAGTGAAAAATCAGCCTTTACGTTTTAACCTTTCTAGCTGGTTTCAGCCAAGGCTGTTTTCAAGTCTGCTTGGGTCTTAACCATACGTCTGGTTTGTAGCACTCTGAGAAAATACCTAGAATGGCACGTGCAAACATAACGGAGGTGGGCTTGTCCCTCTAACCGTTGTGGCGTTGTCTTTTATCTCGGCTCTGCAGTAACTTTCATACGGACACAGCTTTGTAAGATAGAGTCAGAAGCCAGAAGTAACCCACGTATGATTTTCTCTGCCTTGGGTGGCCGTTTGTTGGCTGTAGTCAGAAAAGGATGTGTCTCAAGGCACCAGAAACTTCCATGCACTTTGGGAAAGGAAGGCTTTTGCAGTAAATAGTTATATGGTATATTTATAAGATTCCAACCTTGACGTTCTTGTTTAGTCTGAGGAATGTAAAGGAATGAAACCGTGCACATTCCCAACACGCACGCTGAAACATGCACCTTGTGCTGCGCAATGAAACAGCACATTCTGCTAAGATCTCCCTTCCCATAGGCCTTGGAGACAGTCATAAATTCAAGTCAGTTGAGCAAGTATTTGCTCAGTGTTCCTGAATTGTCCAGCACTGAGATAGGCAGGCACTTGAGAGTTTGAAAGATTTTTAGGATTGGGTGATATCCTCAAGGCACTTACAACTTGGAAGGCCAAAATCTTCTACCACCCCTCACCTGGCTCTCTGCAGCAGAAGCTGTACGGATACTCTGGGGAACGACTTGTCACACAAAAAGATATTTGCTGAATTGCATGAAAGGTGCATCAGTACAGCTATGAAATATTAATAGATTGCCCAGTGTGTGTGTGACCCTTTGTGGACTTGTAAAAATGTCAGTGTTTATTCTTCAAGGTAATTTAAGACAAACGGTCGTTTTGTTTGGAGTGATAAAAATGGCTGCGTGACCCAAAATGATAAAGAACAGACTGAGTCTGTTTCTTTAGAGATATGATTCTCGGACTTTGCTTCACGATAGTTCTCGTGTGGAGCTATTGATATGAAAAATCCCAAAGTCCAGACTGAAACAGAATCTCTGGAGGTAGGACCCGAGTGTCAGTACTTTTTAAAACTCCCTAAGTAATTCCAAAGCACCATGAAGTTTGAGATCTGGTGATATCAGGCTGTGTCAGAAACCTCTTTCCGTTTGTTCGTTTTTTAGCCCAGACATTCTAGGGTGAATTTGGGAATGGAATTTTTCATAATGGTGGTGGTGCTTGACTAAAGAACTTTCGGCCTTCTGGAGTCTGACCCCTTCTCCCTGGAACTCAGTGTGGATGGAGCTATCTATGCTTTCGTTCTATTCAGCAAACCTGGTAGTACGATGCCAAGCCAGCCACTCAACCAACTAAATTTCCTAAGGTTTTCTGAAACTTGAGTGGTTTTTTTTTGTGTGTTTTTTTTTTTCGAGACAGAGACTTGCTGTGTTGCCCAGGCTAGAGTGAGTGCCGTGGCGTCAGCCTAGCTCAAAGCAACTTCAAACTCCTGGGCTCAAGTGATCCTACTGCCTCAGCCTCCCGAGTAGCTGGGGCTACAGGCATGCGCCACCATGCCCGGCTAATTTTGTCTATATATATTAGTTGGCCAATTAATTTCTTTCTATTTATAGTAGAGATGGGGGGGTCTCACTCTTGCTCAGGCTGGTCTCGAACTTCTGACCTCCAGCAATCCGCCTGCCTCAGCCTCCCAGAGTGCTAGGATTACAGGCGTGAGCCTCCGCACCCGGCCAGAACCTTGAGTGTTTTTATTCCAAGAGGCCAAATGTTATTGAAGGTCCTGATTGTGTCTCTTAAAGGAAGGTGTTTATACGACATTACATGTACCCCTTGAAATTATCTTTGCAGTGTCTGAAACCTCATGGAAAAGGGAGCCCCTTATTGGTATACTGGGCAGCTAGTAGGAGTAGATCATTAATTATACAGGTGTTAACTAAATTCTTGATGACTCACCAGAGATTCTTAGAGTTGCAAAGTATTTTCAAGATATTCCATCATGACCAGCCTGGGCAACATAGTGAGACCCCACCTCTACAAAAAAATATAAAATATTAGCTGGTTGTGGTGGCATGAGTCTATAGTCCCAGCTACTCAGGAGGCTAAGGCAGGAGGATTACTTGAACCCAGGAGTTCAAGGTTACAGTGAGCTATGGCTAGTGCACTCCAGCCTGGGTGACAGATTGAGACCCTGTCTTTAAAAAATATATATATTCTAGTTCAGTTGTTCTCAAAGTGCAGCATCAGCATCACCTGGACTTGCTAGAAATACAAATTCTCAGGCCCAAGCCAAGACCTTCTGAGTCAGAAACAGCATCTATGTTTTAAGAAGCTCTTTGGGTACCCGCCAAAGTTGAAGAATCACTGCTGTAGTTTCACCTAGTCAGAAATGGAGATTCCTCAGTCCTGAAACCTGTCTCTGCACATGGCCAGATCATGCTAACTTTTCCATGTGTCATAAATAACTGCTTTAAGAAAACACCTACCATCCTACAATCATTAGGCAAGAAGAAACCTTAAATGTTGTTTCATCTGACCCTCACATTTCATAGATGAGAAAACTGAAGTCTACAGGGTGAAGTGATCTCAATAAGATGTATAGTTATTGGTGACAGAGCTTGTATAGGAAGTGAGTCTACTTACAATCAAAACAACCCACCCCCACTATCCCACATTGCTCTTTCGTTTCATATGGACATCCAGTATTTGGGTTATTTCATATCAGTTAAGATGTCTAGGTTAATAGGCAGCTGTAGGAAAAGACTAGCTATTTTGATGAAGAATTTTAATTTCTTAAAATTAATCTAAAGTCTTATTTTGATTTAAAATTGGCTTGAATTTTATAACCATCCTTGTATATTTACTAGAAAAACTTCAGTGATGTAGACTATTTAAAAAAAAAAATTCAGAGAACATAGGGACCATTCCTGGAGCATGTGTTTCATCTCAGAATCGTGTCATCTCAGATCACACACTGAAATTGCATTTTCTTCAGATTTAGTTAAGAGGGAAATTGTGACAAGAAGTCTGTTTGTTGAATATTTTAGAATTTTATACTTGACGTGGTTGATGGTATTTACATAATCTTGACTGTTCGAACACTGAATCTAATCCACATTGTCTGCAAGCTTCATCTTTTAGTGCTTTGTAGCAATACACAAATGGAACATTTAGCCAGGAAAACAAATTGAGAATGTGAAACACAACTATTAGCTGCACACACATTCACACGGAGCGAGTGTGCACACGCATACGAATGTTTATTGGTTCTATACGTCTACCGTGTGCCAGGCACTGTGTCCTATTATAGTTCCTGCCTTCAGATGCCCATGGGACAGTGGGGAAGTTAGACAAGTGGCTGAGTAGGCAACTCTGAGAGCAGATGGCTGGAGTTAGAAGAGAGTGCAGGTGAGGTGACTGGAGCAGCCGGGCATTCTGAGGATCCTGGAAGGGGCACCAGTGTATGTTGAATGAGGGCAGGAGTCACAGAAGGCTGCCTGGAGGAGGCGTCACATGAGCTGCATTTTGAAGGATAGTGGTTGTCGGGTGAAAGGGACTAGGGAGGAGGTTGTCCTGGGAGAGAGGCCAGTATATGCAAAGGCATTAATGCTGGCGTGTACATTGTCCTTCACTGGGGCAGTATTGGTCTATAAACCCCTAAATATTGTATTTGTCTAT